CCCCAAAACCCCAAAACCCCAAAACCCCTTGGAGAGATCATTTACACAAATATCAGAATTAAAAATATGAAATTTGAATGTACTACATTAGGTTAGAACTTGAAACACTTTAAGATATTAATAATTATTAAATTATTTAAATAGATAGTCATTCCTAAGAGATGATAAAATCTTTCTCAATCGTCAGCATGCTGTTGGCACCATTAGTGCTCTCTCAAACATTTAAGGTAGAAGTCACAAGAAGTGAAGCTGCACTTCCAGAGAAGTTACTTTAACAGAGTAAACGTAAGTAATTTAAAGACAATAGGTTTCCTATTTAAATCTATTGGAGTATTTTCTTCAACCCTCATTAAAAAATATGATATTCATTTCTAATGGTTTAGTTAACAAAGAATTTGAAGTAGCTATCAATAGGTTTTCTACCTATAGATACACCGGGAAATTTTATTTTGGAAGCAAAGCTTCAGACGCTGACTTAATCCTGGATACAGACTCAGATTGGATGCTTGTTGAATCCTAGCAATGCGATGCATGTCTGCCAACTCATAGGAGATACAACCCACTTACCTCTACTACTCAGTATGAAACTTGATTTAAACTTAACTTTCTATATTAGGACTCCAGGTTCAAATGAGACATTCATATTGTACTTAGATGATAACTTCTATGTCGGAGACGACTATTATGATACTGTTTGTGTCGCTGACTCTTCAAAGTATTGTGCAAAGGATTTCAAATTCATTGCAGTCACTGATATAAACAAGGTGACCTCAGAATTGGCAAAAATCGATGGAGTCGTTGGATTAGGTCCAGATGATCCATCAAATGGGCCATCATTCATCGCTGAACTTTACAATCAAGGTGTCATTGGAAAGAAAATGTTTGGCATTCAAGTAGGCTTTAACTAAAAATCTGAAATGATGTTCGGTGGATGGGATGATACTTGGATGAAAACTAGAGGAGAAAATATCTACTTCTACCCCTAATCAAACCAATCAAGATGGGAAATTGAATTGAGAGATCTTAAGATGAAAAATACCTCATTCTGGGAAGGATCTAAGAAAGCTGTAATAGATAGTTTTAATGATTCAATTACTTTCCCTGATGCTGAATTCCAAGTTTTCAAAACTTATATAGAAAGTATTGATCACACCATCGACTGCGATAACACCAAGGGTACTTGCAGATTCAACGATGATTGTACCACAAAATATACCAAGTTACCTTAATTAAGAATCTAATTTGGAGATATGAACACATTTGCAATTAACCCAAAAGACTATCTCTTTGGATAGGTTGATGGAGGTAACCGTGCATTCTGTACTTTCTTAATCAAGAAGAACAATAAGGATTATGTCTAAATAGGCCAACCATTCCTCAAAAATTTCTATGCCATATTTGACTTTGAATCAGGTAGTGTTGGATTCTTCCTACATGCATATACTAACTCTGAAGTAAATTCTGATGGAGTAGAGAGAGTAGTTACACCTTAGCCTCCTATCACTGATGATTCACCAAGTGACGATAAATTCCCAATCTGGGCCATCATCCTAATTGTAGTTGTTTTAATAGGAGGATTGCTAGCCCTCGGAGCTGTTGCTTTTATCAAAATTAGAAACAAGAGACTACAGCAAAACCTTAGCTAGTACAATCAACTTGAGGGAACTAAAGGCAAAGCCGGCAAAACTCTCTAGTGAGAATCTAGAAGCAGTATTAGAGGCAGACATTTATGAGAGAGGAAGAGATGGTATGTAGAAATGCAATTATAAACTCATTGTGCTTAGGTTTTAGATGGAAGCTGAATTTATCAGTGCATGAGTTGAAATTGATATATGTATGTTGATCATTAATATTCTTAATAAGTAAAGAGTGAAATCATCTAATTTATTATTAATCTTAAGCATATGAATATCAATATAAAAAATAGTTCACACTCTTGAACTACTTTGGATCATTAATGTGTTTGAATTTAAATATACTACTTTTATCAAACTATTCTAATCTGACGGGGTTTTGGGGTTTTGGGGTTTTGGGG